TGTCTTGATTCTCACAGAGAGCACAAGAGTCATTAGTTATGCTAATCGTCGTGATGCAAGTCTTCCGTAAATTCGTACTTACTCAGTGACCTTAGTGCACCATTCTGTCGTCAATGTTTAGGGGATAAGGGATCAGGTTCGATGATTAATTCGAGCTTAAATTTATGTCACCTATGCTTCGAAGCCTTCACAATGAATTGTAGGGGTCAGGCACTCGGCAGTTACGCCCCACCAACGCCCCACACAGGGATTTTTCACACACCAACACGGACTGTTTTTCAAGGTGACGCGCGCTTGCGTGATGTTGATGCATGAAAACAGCGTTTGCTGCTAAAGGTATGAATGGCCCACTCCAATTTTTGTAAAAATTAGCCAAATCGAAGGTGGCGTGTTTTTTGCTATTTAGCCTTTACTGTTTTAATTCAAGGTCAAATAAAGTTCAGTCACTTCAATTTAATTTTATAAATAAAAATTAAAGCGTTATCAATTGCCTACGAAATCCTGTTAATCTCATCTCGATACCATAAAAGGAACCAGAGTTAGGGTAGTGTGGGGTAATTTGAACATATTTTTACGTCTTCTCCGTTGTACCAAATTCCAGCTCAACCCTGGATGAAGAAAAACTTTCAGTAGCGCATGTGTCACTTGCTTTCACCATGCAAGCCTCATCTTTGGACGAGCCGAGCATACCTTGAATAGCATAGCATCACTTCTCCACCAAGTCACGGTGTGTTCAAATTGCCCCACCGTGGGGTAATTTGAACATACTGTCTTTACCTGTCATAAAAACGATAGTCTCGCCAGCACCGATGTTGTTTGACCCATAAACAAATAGGCAGAGCAATTCTAAAAATACCATCATTTGAAAAATCAACACAACAACAAAAATAAGAGTTGCAGAGTATCAATATCTGCACGCTGCACACTGGTCAGTTGACAGAATTCGCCTCTCTTCAATTAACAGAACGTCTATCATCTCCGTTCGATAAAAACTCTACCAAACCTTACTTCATCTGTTATAGTGGTGCCAATCGGAACCTGGACATTCGGAGTTCCGATTCTTTATAATGTCCAATTCAGAATTGATTGCACAAAGGTATAGAAGTCTGGACAACGTTGGACGATGGCCTGCCACACTTAAGCATTTTTATCAAGTAATCGTGCGTAGCATTGATTTGCGAATGGAAAGCTTGTTAAGCTCTCAATATAATGAACACTTTTCGGCTGGTAAAATTACATGATAAGCAATATAAATGACGGTTGTGAGTGTTGATAGCTGCATAATTTTCGGACATATTTGGACAAATAATTGACTTTAACATTTTTGGACGGAAAATCAACGAAAATGCCATTAGACGGATATTAGACGTAAATTTTCTAAAACTGGCATCACTTATCTGCTACTGCTTTGGGTCAAAAATATTGGCAAAAAAAAACTGGGAGCGTTGTTTTTTTCGGAGCTATCCCTGTCTTCATTGAAATTCTCACACTATGTTCATTGTTCAAATTACCCCACGCTAAAAGTTATTTTGCAATTTTTAAAAACAGGGTTCAAAAGCAAATTTCTTGGATTGAAGGCACTGATTAAGTCATTGTACAACAAAAGCCGTTGCGTATTAGGCGCTAGCAATGCAAGATTTTGCGCTGCAATGAAGTTGCAATGACGTTGTTGTTAGGTTGTTAGGTTGTTGGTGTTGTTAGGCGTTTATTCTTGCGAAATTGATTTTTTACACTGTGCGTCAACATCTTCATTGCCTGAAACTTTAAACCCCGTTCATATGATAGCCCTTTTAGTTGTGTTGCATTTTTGGCTATATTCGATGACCTATATCTCAGCGATACGGTATCAAATTTCAAAAATATTATACGTAACTCAGTTTTGAACCATGCCCACTCTGCCTACAAATTTTCAGAAAAATGGAAGGGGATGACGGATTTCGGTGTTTGATTTGACGTGGAATTCCCCTGAGACATCACTCGAGGCATGATTGGTCAGCCCGCCGGCCGGACCTCCGGGTCAACTGGAGGGCACGGGCAGCCATCTGAATTCAGGGTGTGGAAAAATCGGTTAATACTTTCAGATTAACCGTGCATTTCTGTAATTCAAAAAATATTTTTAACTTCTCCGCCTCTACCCTCCCCCATCCCCTTCCCCCATCTGCGTCCATCTCGAAAATGGTGCGCCATTTCTGCCACAACACATGGCAGCCAATGGGAGCTACCAAATCTCAACTTTCGTTTGACGGGCTGCAGGCCGTCAGGTCGACGGTGACGGGCCGACACCGACAGACTGACGGTCATGTGTGAACTGCGTTTTAGAGGTCACTGATGATACCAGGTCAGGACACCAAGGGTCAGCACATGAACCAAACTTTACCGAGGTTGTACGATGCATGTTTTATGGCTAATTTTTCATTCCCAGCTCAATGGTGTTATTTATAAGACCTTCAGGTACGGTTTAGGTCACTTTCTGGTGGAGCTCAGGTCAAGGTTAGGTCAAAAAGGTCAAAGTTCAAAGTTGATATTTTTGCATAAAATGGACATTAAAGGGACTATCCCACCTTTAACATGGGGTTTGAGTTGAGATAGCCAAGTTTGCGGCGAGGTTCAGAAACCACTATCTATCTAGGTTGCAACCCCCGCGGCCTCTTGGTGTTGAAGAAATTCGTTCCCTTCATTTGAAAATGGGCCTTGCGCAAGGCCCTATCTTCAACATGGAGCGACCGTTAGTGTGACGTCACCTCGTTTAGTCATTCTGATTTAAATGGGTTTGTTCGTTGAAAAATCGCTTAAAACTTGGTCCGAACTTTGTTGTGGTGCCTACAGAGTAAAAAGAATCAGCTTTATGACAGTAATGTGGCCTGGGGAAGGAGGTAATTTTGGGCTGTAACGTCACATATTTGAAAGTTTGTGTTTGGAATATGGGAAGCCTAAGATGTTTAATGAAAAATAAATGCCAGAACCATGTTCCTGGTCATCCAATCTATAAAGTCGGGCACAATTTAATTGGTTTTAACAACATTTTAGAAGGTGGGATAGTTCCTTTAATCCGATGCAGCTCGTCACGGGGAGTCTAATGATGATATTTGTTTTGCGCTACGTGGTCTAGAATTGCTAAAAATTGAGTTTGAAAATTTGACGTCATCAATCTTGAACAGTTTTTTCGTTATAACTTGGCCAAAAAAGAGGTATCGATCTCAAATTTGGTATGTGGATAGAAGGTGGCAGAGACTATCATATATTTATTCCGTTTTTTTTCGAAATTCGAAAAAACTGTTTGGATTTTTCAGCTATTATTTAAAAAAAAAACTATTTTTTATTTTTAGGGGTCAAAATCCAAAAAATTCGGAAATTCGACATAGTATTTTGTTGCCCTGTTAATTCTACACCTTTTATGTAAGAAATATTTTTCTGTATCTCTAAAGCTGTAGGCCTGACAGCTCTTCCCGCGAAACCTTTTTTTGGTCGAAAATGGCAGAAATGGCGTCACTGTGGCGTCATTAGCGGCCAACCTATCATAGCCTTCGGAAAATTGTTGGTCACAATGTGCAATAGCTGTTCACGGGAGGGTACTGAAAGTTTGGTGACGATCGGCGCAGCGGTTCTGGAGATATATCGAAAAAACAAACTAAAGCGAAGGTTAACCCTCGCCCGTATTGGTGTTTTTACAGCCGCGAACGTATAAGGGGGGGGGTCCGTTGGACCCCCCCTTGCCGTTTCGCCCCTGATCGAGCTAGAGCTTCGCGGAAAAAACGAGCGTGTTGCCCGTGACGAGAGGAAGCCGATGATACCCAATTTTAAGGTCCTAGGTCATCGGTTGACCTTCCAGGTCAGGTCAATGACCCAAAAGTCGGGAAAATCGGGACCTGTTAGAAAGTCGTAAAGCGTGGCTGCTATGAAGTTTTTCGGGGTGCTGATCACGAATATCATGTTAGTTTTGATCACAGATGATGTCTTCATGCATTTAGGCCAGGTCGGGTCAGGTCAGGTCAGGTCAACCAGTAAGGGTATTCGTAGTAGGTGGCAACCGCCTCTGACAGCTTCGTAACATGTTACGAAGGTGCTAAAACTACTTCGTAAATGTTCATATGGTTGCCAAATTCGAATTCAGCTCCAAAAACTGGCCTAGAAACATGTAAAACTCGGAAAAGTGAACCGAGGTCATCAAAGGTCAATGACCTGACCTGACCTTCCGGTGACCTTGACACCCACCCTAATGGATAGGAGCAACATCAGATCCCATGTTTGAACGCTTAAAACCACGAAAAGACTGCAAACGCGCGGCTAATGCGAGCCGACATATGCCGAATCGCGATTCCGGCCAAACATGGTCTCGAAAAGTAGGTCACAGGTCAAAGGTCATTAGGGTCAGGGTCATGAAAATTTCAGGGTAGGTGTAAAATTGATTAACGCGAGGGTACTGAAAGTTTCGTCGCGATCGGCCGCTTTTTACGCGAGTTATTCGCGAAAAACCGAGGGGGGGGGGGGTCCGTTCGACCCTTCAGTAGGGCTAAGCAGCACGTAGTGAAGGTCGGGTCATGGTCATATCAAAATGACCAAATTTGAATGCGATGAATGTCAACAAAACTGCGTGTTTCAGATGCAGTTCGAGCTGAGGAATCCCATGCAATTAGTGACACGTTTGGAAGTTGGAAAAAATTGTAGGCAAGCTTTCGAAGGTGCTGAAGGTTCAGAAGGTGGTGCCTGTCGAATTTTGGTGGACTCTGGGGCGCCAACTGAGTACAATGCAGAGCTCCCAAGATCTCACACCCTAGATTGCGTCTTAGAGAAATTTGAGTCAGAAAATTATGAATGTTCTGACTCAAACCCATGCCTCGAACCTTGAACCTATCCTGCAAATTTGGTATTTCTTAGTGCCACAGGAGTCTATCGCTGTTGGCTCGTATGCTCCCTGTGTCGCCCGCACAAAGAAGAGGCGCCGGCGATGGTGAACCAGTGGCGGTGCCCGTAGTCACCGTGTGCCATCTGGTCACCGGCAGATCACCGTGTACCGCTACCAGGAGGGGCTGGAGCTGGACGAGGCCATGCTGAAGGCCCTGCTGCAGGGCTACCATCTGCGCCCTACTGACCAGCTCAACCTGGCGCTCAGCTGGAACCGCGTCGACATCGCGCGCTGCACCGTGTTCGCCACACCGCAGGAGTGGCCGCCAGGTGAGGGACGGCCGGCGCCCCAGCAGTGGCAGTGGATCTGTGGTGTTGGATATCTCTGGCTGCTGTGTCGATTTGGTTATCTATCCATTTCGATCAATTGCTTTTTGACGGCCGGAAATTTTAAGAAAAATATAAATCGCATCGAAGTGCCTGTATCGGATTAGCATGTGTCTCCTTTAGAAAGAATTGAAAACTGACGGCATGGTTATTTAACCCGGCCACCAGTCAATGGCAGTGTTGGCTTCAGCTCTGGTGACGTAGGCGGAGCGTGAAGGTTTCTTTATTTTCCCTTCACTAGTGCTAACCCTATGGGAGAAACCGATTTCGAGGGCAAAATTCAAAGTCGATTTTTTAACTTATTAGTCTAGACACGTGAAAACTGAGTGTACCAAACAACAGCCTGATCTTCCTTCTATCGATACCCGCATCCACTTTGGCGATGGTACGTGCATAAAACGCTGAAATATGGCGATAGGCGAGAAGGTGTCATCCTAAACGGTATCATTCAATTACATCTTGATGGTTGCTTTCTCGAATGCTCGGAACGTACCAAGTAGTGATGAACCTGACCTCTGATTCAAGCCGGATCTTGTGATGCCAGCAGCTTTTTCAGGTTAGGTCAGGTCACTGACCTTTGACGTCATTGGTGAACCTCTGCACGGTCCTCAGATGCCGCAACTTCGCAACGCCCTCAGTGTCAGGGCAGATTTCACAGGGAGATGAAACTTGCAGGACCTAGTATCCTCCAGAAGTCTCACAACGCGTATATCTCGCTTTTTTATTCAAGGTCACATGAGGTCATGCCGGTCATATCACCTCACCATTATAAGCCAATGGGGGAAATTTTAAACTGCTATTTTGGAGCCCAGAACGATTTCAGACCAGCTGTAGCAGTTAGCACACGCAACCGTGATTATTTCATGCACTCATTGCAAGGATCGATGCTTCATTTTTGCACCAAGAGCTTGCATGACGTCATTGATGATGTCACTAGTGTCATAAGTTTTTCGACAAAAACTTTTCGACAATAGCTTATCAAATTGAGCTAGCGAGTCGGAAAAGCCACCAATGGACTCGGGAAGACCTGGCAAATCGAATGATATGAAACATGACCTCCTTCGACCAAGTTCGTGACCTGGGGAGCTCTGACCTCACCGTGACCCGAGGTCAACACCCAAAGTTGGCCTCACCCAAATAAAAAAGAATGCCATTCGACGCGCCTGAGCAGGGGAATACGATGCTGTAAAAGTTGCGGCCCTGCGCTCATTTTTTGCGAAGCTGTTCGCCAAAACCGAACCCGTACCTTGGGCCACTTGACCTGACCTCACCGTCACCGGTTGACCTGAGACCTTAAAATCGGGTACAAAACGCTGCATCTCGTAACGGCACACACGCTCGTTTTTTCCGCGACGCTCTAGCTCCATTAGGGGCGAAACGGCGAGATGGGGCCGTACCCCCCCCCCTCCCCCCCGGCCGGCGCGTACCTATGTAGAAAACCAATGAGTCCGGCGAGAGTTAAAGGTAGTGTGCCACCTTTCAAAGATTTCCCATTTTATTTTTCCTAGGATAAGAAGCTTCTGTTTTTACCTAATATCGCAAAAAAAATCAAAAATGGGCCTGGGATAGTACTTTTTTCACCTAAAAGTTTATCGGTTTTCGATATGTATAACAACTGTAGTGGGCTGACCTGCAAACAGGCGTCGGCAACAATCGCGAATGCGGCGCACATGTGACAATAAGCAAAGGTCATTATAGAGTTACGACGTACGGGAATGAGTTGTCAGCTGTCTAATCGTAGACAACACAATGTCGAACTTAAAGGGACTATCTCACCTTCTAAAATGTTGTTAAAACCAGTTAAATTGTGCCCGACTTTATAGATTGGATGACCAGGAACACGGTTCTGGCATTTATTTTTCATTAAACATCTTAGGCTTCCCATATTCCAAACACAAACTTTCAAATATGTGACGTCACAGCCCAAAATTACCTCCTTCCCCAGGCCACATTACTGTCATAAAGCTGATTCTTTTTACTCTGTAGGCACCACAACAAAGTTCAGACCAAGTTTTAAGCGATTTTTCAACGAACAAACCCATTTAAATCAGAATGACTAAACGAGGTGACGTCACACTAACGGTCGCTCCATGTTGAAGATAGGGCCTTGTACAAGGCCCATTTTCAAATGAAGGGAACGAATTTCTTCAACACCAAGAGGCCGCGGGGGTTGCAACCTAGATAGATAGTGGTTTCTGAACCTCGCCGCAAACTTGGCTATCTCAACTCAAACCAGGGGCGGATCCAGAAAATCTCCAAGGGAGGGACCATTAGAAACCAGGAGGCCCCCCCCATAATCCCACCTGTTGGAGGCCCCATCTTCCCACTTGTTGGGCCCCCCCCCCCCCCAAAAAAAACTGCGTCTTTTGAGCTTATCTAGCTGTTCAGGCAACATCTCAACATCTGTGCAGGCTTGGAGGCCCTCTGTGCAGGTTAGGAGGCCCTGTAAAAGTGGTCATCTCTGTGAGTATAAGAGACCTCCAAGTTATGAAAAGCTTTACCAATCTTCTAACAAAGAAGTCCTCTCAGCTAGTCTTCTAAGAAATAACTAAGTGGGTAGGTTAAAAAAAAAAAACTCATCGGATTTCGGCCACTTTATTTTCAGGAGGCCCCCTTTTCAGCTTTTTAACTTTTTAACTTTTTATTTTATTTTTGAAAAAAATCGGCCAAGGGGGGGGGGCCATGGCCCCCATGGCCCCCCCCTTGTATCCGCGCCTGACTCAAACCCCATGTTAAAGGTGGGATAGTCCCTTTAAACTGTAAGCTTGTATTGGTATTGTTTCTTTAATTTGGCTGTCGAACATTAATTTATGGTTTGGAATATGATTTTATGTAAAATAATTGATATAAAACAGCCGTCTCTTTAATTATGACCCCATTTCACCACACGAAAGTGGCAGAAATGACAATGATCAGCTGACGCATATTCTTGGCCGAAGTCAGAGCGCGCGGCCCGACGCACCACCACCGCATCACAAAGTATGAGCGGCGTATTTGGAAATTCCGACCTCGACGAGCATCAGAAGCCACCTAACAGGCGTGTTCGAAACCGCAGGAGATGATGATGAACGGGTTTATCGAAACTTGATTGGATGAGCCTATCGGTAATAGCGATTTTAGTGTGTGCATTTATTGTTCATAGTGGTGTGAAATGTGGTTGGGGTACGACCGACAACCCGTCGGGGCGAATTTCGCACTGGGGTACTCAAAATTTGGAGAATTTAAGACGTTTCCATGAGTTTTGAAGGTATGGATGAGTTCTAAAAATCCGATTCTCCTTATCCGGGTCATTAACTCCATTTGGTCCAGGAAAGCTGGCACACTACCTTTAAGCAGGTTCCCATGTGCACAAACAGCTAAGGGCTGTGCATTTAGTATGGTCATGAGAGAATCCTGTTTGAATTGGGTTCATAATACAATGCATGATCACTTCTTGTTCATAAGTTTTATTGATTTTCTTCTTCCCAAAAGCGAACAAAAAATGTTCTTCTCCATATTCCCCTTCACTCAACAAATTTTGATCACTTTTCCCTTAAGGCCTAAGGTAATACATTGGTAAAAAACACCAATGGATGGCTCATCTCAATAGTCAATACTTCTGTCTCCATCAGCCGTTGGGTCATGGTGGCAATGCAGTGTGATGATGACAGCATTCCATTTAATACCACTGAAACACAGCTTAGCTCAAAAACGCTCGTATGAATTTATCTATCTTTATTGGTGCAAAATAACTGAACTTATCACATTCTTAACTATTGCTTCAGAAAGACATCAGGCCTTAAGATTGTGTGAAACAAGAAAATATTATTAGGCAATAGAGTTGATATATGTGTAGATCAAGTCCAGATTGTAGATTTTAGTTTTGGTAGGTTGTAGGAGTTAGGTTGTAGGTTTTAGGTTGGCGGGTTCGTAAGTAGTAGGTATATTTACGGAGCGAGCGAAGCGAGCGTAGTCTTTCCTTAGATTAACGGAAATTTCTGAGTATGAGCGGCCGGCCGGCCGGCCGGCCGGCCGTGGTCACGCTTTTGCGAGGCTTATATCTCAGCAACCACTTGACCGATTTACACGCGGTAATTTTTGTAGGGTAGCTTCATTCCTTCTACCAAGTATTGGACTATTCCCGATGCATGTGGGTGACCCCTTATGCACGTGCCACGTGCAAAACGAAGAGGTGTCACTTTTGTAATTGTTGCAATATCTCGGTAACTACTTGGCCGATTGGGCTGAAAGTTGGCATGTAGGTAGGCACCCACTAGGCACTGCATATACATGTGCCAGAGTTGGGGTGCTGTTGCACGTGCGCACGTGCAGGGGTCGTTTCCAGATCTCGAGAGCGGCTGGACCGATTGCGCTCAAATTTGGTACACGTTTAGGGACCGGTTAGTAGGGTGCCGTGCACAAGTCAGTTGGGACCCATTTTGCACGTGCGCACGTGCAGGGTGCCGCTTCCAGATCTCGAGAACGGCTGGGCCGATTGTGCCCAAATTTGGCACATCGCTAGAGACCAGTTAGTAGGGTGCCGTGCACAAGTCAGTTGGAGGTACCCCCTCGCAATTTCGCACGTGCAAGGCCCACCCTCTCGCTCGCTCCGTTAGTCGCCCAAAAGGCGTTATACTGGTGGTAGGTTGAAAGCTTTGAGTTAAAAGGTAAGGTTAGGTCAGGTTAGTTCAAAATCTTCACTGGACTTCATCTTCACATCTACCACAGAGTCGACAAGCCGTGCCAGCCTGCTAATCTACGGGTAATACTAATACTACGAGTAATAATATCTACGAGTAATACTAATACTGGTAATACTAGTACCAACTAAGTATTCCGCACTAGCACACACAGAGGCTGGAAATGTGCACAAACACACGAAAAAAGGCTGCAAGCTTGGGAACTCTGCACTTATATGGAAACTACATTGGGTGTGTGCCTGTGAATTATTGAGAATAAACTAA